CTTGTTGAATTAAGAATCGTGTTTTCCTAATGCTGATGGTACCCTCTATTTCTTGCTAGAGATGGCATCTTTGAGAATCCAGCTTCCGGGGGGCCAACAGCCGGTGCCAAGCCAACAACAGGCGTCGAGCCAACAGCCGCCGTCCGTCTCGCGGCCCTCGTCAGGCCAACAGCCTTCGGCGAAGGGGAAGGAGAAGGCCGGCTCCTCCTGCCCTGCACCGAAAGGAAAAAAGAGCAAGCACAAGATGAGGCGTACTGAGGAGCCGGCCCCTAGCCAGTCGTCGACTGACAAGACCTGGACACCAGTAGTGCCCATTCCTGATGTCCGTGCACCCCCGGGACCAAGAGAACGCATATTGATCCCGGGGGGGAAGATTACGGATGCGAACTTTCAGGTTTCGGATATTTCTGACGCCGAGGTCGGGGCGATGCTAAAACTCCCCCCTCGCTTTTCGCTCGTCTTCCAGGCCTTATACGAGTCGTTCCTTGAGCCCCATTGGGTTGCTGCATTCCAGTCTTCTATAGTCGACCGCCAACGCAAGCAAATCTCCTTTCAGATCCACGTAAGTCAATTTTTTTTTTTTTTTTTTTTTGATTTCTTGCCATTTCCCAGAGCCTCGTCCTTTCCCTTCTTAACCTCCTTGACCTAATCAAGGTCGAGGAGCGAAAGGATGAGATGGACGATTTGGAGGCCAAGCTTCAGTCGCTCGTCGATGAGGCCAAGAAGAGCAGGGATGATGCCATCGAGGAGAGGGATTTGGCGAAGGCCCAACTGATCAGCCTGGACAGCGAAGTAACCAAGTTGAAGGCTGAAGTCGCAAAGCTTACTCGACGGGCTGATGAATCTGAAAAGAAACTGGCCGGGGCGATCGTGGATGCCGAGAATCGGTCTTCCGAGGGGAAGGTCGACGGGAAGATGGAGGCCGAGGCAACCTTCAACGCCAGTCGGGCGCAGATCATTGAGGAATTCAAGGCTTCTCAAGAGCTCTTTGACATCCGCAATAATGATTTCCAGTCGGCGGGTCAGCAAATTGTTGATCTGATAAAAAAGGAGCGTCCTGATTGGGACTTAGGCTTCCTCTACAACTCACCTCCTCCTGCTGGCGACGAGGAAGTGCCCCCTCCTGGTGGCGATGAAGAGAACGCTCCCTTCCTTGGTGGCGGCGAGGAGCCAGCGGATGGTGGCGACGAGGAGCCAGCGGATGGTGGCGACGATGCTTAAGGAACTATCTTCTATCACCCCATTTTTTTTTTTTTTGCTTTCAGTCAATTTTTATGTTACCCGTATTTCTATATGAAGGTAATGGGTTTTGTTCATACCTTGATTCATAATCATTGATTTCCTTCCTGTTTCTCTTTCGAAATTTTTTTAGAATTTACTAAGTGCCGTCTTTCTCTTTGGAGGATTTGACGTCGAGCTTATCCCTTTGGGTCGTCGTCTTAGGAAATTTTTTAGAATTTCACTAAGTGTTATGTCTTTCCTCCTTGGAGGATTTGACGTCGAGCTTATCCCTTTGGGTCGTCGTCTTAGGAAATTCCTTAGAATTTCACTAAGTGTTATGTCTTTCCTCCTTGGAGGATTTGACGTCGAGCTTATCACTTTGGGTTTTCTTTTAAGCCGACACGTTATTATGGGGTCAATCTATCTCACGCTGAAAACATATCAATTTACTATATTTGCAAAGAATGTGTAATAAAAAACGCATAACAACTTCATACATTTATTGGTAGTACAACCTTAGTTGCTCAGCATTCCATGGGTGTTGAACATTTTTGCCGTCGAGATTTTCTAATACGTAAGTGCCAGGTCGTAGTACTCTCCTTATGCGATAGGGTCCTTCCCAAGTTGGGCCCAAGGGACCAGTATTCTTGGGTTTTGTGCTTTGTGTCACCCTTTTTAATACTAGGTCTCCTAGGGTGAACCTTCTTTGCCGGACTTTCTTATTATAAT